TTGTCTTTTAATGAACATCTAAGGGGGAGTGTTATAAATATATTATATTATGGATGTTTATTTAGTACTCCGTTGTAAATAAATTTTCTGAAGAAGCTTATCCATATGAGACTCCGCCGTAAATATGTTTATCTATTTAGTACTCTATTGAAAATAAGCCTCCTGAAGAAGTTTATCCTTTCGGTACTCCGTTATGGATAAATATTACCCTCGATAGAAGATTATATATATCTGCTACAATAGCAGCTTGCACTAACAGCTTACACAGCAACTTGCAGTAGCAGCTTACGCAATAACTTCTTTTCTTTTATAAATAGAGAACATTTCAGTTCATTATGTACATCACTTTGAAATTAAATAATATATTAATTTCTCTCTATACTTGTCTTTACTGTCTTTATTTTATACAATACTAGACAGCAAATTATTAATGCCGTCAGGCAGGTATCGGTTTTCCCTAAATGCCCCTACTTTTGTAAACTCACTCTATAAAGCACATTGTCAGCCTTTCTACAATCATCACTCTCAGTAGTACACTGTGCACTCCACTTATCAGGTATTTCTTCTCTCTCTATATATATCGCATTATTTCTTGGTGGGATCATTACTTTTTTGACTGTAGGCTTTTATTTGAAGCTATTTGTTCTTGAAATTCATATGAAATGTTGAGATTTTGCAGCATTTTGGGTCAATTATGTGTTGAATGAAAATCCCTTAACTTTTGTACCATCCATGGCATGTTTTAGAGTACATTGTGCAGACGTGGAACATATAAATTTTGCTGAATGTGTTGCTACGTTTAATGCATGCCATTGTTGTGGGGTTAATTTCGCGGATAATTATCCTACTTTCAATTTATTCGCACCAGTCACAAAAACTAATTTTTGTAACGAAAAAAAAAAATACTGAATTATACCTATGCATGACAGACTGGTATTCAACTCATGTAATTCCTTTTTTTTTTTGGGTTAAGAGTAGACAATGGGAGAAAGGAGAGTATTGAATAAAGTTGTTGTCACGTGATCAGAAGGTCACGGGTTGAAGCCGTGAAAACAAACACTTGTAGATGTTGCAAAAGTTACATGGTTAGAACATAATTTGTTTGTTTTGCATGTTAAATTTACTCAATTATCAAAGTTCGATGAGATCTAATTTTGCGGGTCTGATCGAGTTATTTTGTTTTCGTTGACAGCAGTTCCTCCCAAATCCTACTATGGAGAAAACTCTAATTACGAAACTCTAGATTTCTAATTCTAACTACTTAGTGGTACATAGAATTTGCCATGACCATGCGTTGTTTCTGTCTTTTTCCTGGTCTTAAGATGGTGTTATCTGATCCTTTGGAAAGAAATAGCTGGATTGAACTAGCTTAGGCTGTCTGAGTAACTGAAATTGGGAGCTTTTATAATTGAAATTGGGAGCTTTTATTATCTTTTTCCTTCAGCACTAATCTTCATTGGGATCTTTAGTCGGTTTTACCTTGACATTAGTTGATTTTACAATGATTATTAGTAGCAAGAGTGAGTACGCTCAATGCTGTTATGCATCACTTTCGACTTGGTTTTGAAATAAAACTGAACTTCCCTCTTGGCACTTTTCGCTGAAGGCTGTTACTCAAGATGCTAGTCTGACTTGCAGTAACATTATATCTGTGGAAGATCTTTTGCAGTATTTATATCATATATGTGCTGTTTGCCTAAGAGTAAGGTGCCTTGATTTTCTTAAAATTCTTTTTCCTACGTTCTTTTACTCTTGGAATAAAGAAGGGAGGTCATTCTATTTCCCAATCCTTTTAGTTTTACACAGTCCGTGTCTGTGCAGTGAAGTGCTTTTTTTTTCCTTAACTTAAATGGCAATGGGACTCTACAGTAATGACACTCACATTTACTTCAAATCTAGTATTGCAAATTTCATTGCAAAGTGGTGCTCAGCTGATCTGCTTCAACGCTTCTGAATACAGAATATTTGCTATATGTGATTGAAAAGTGAAAACAGGATTGTTATTTATTTCGTTCCTAGTTTATTTGTCCATGACCTAAATTTCATTAGGTCTGGAATATAAAGTTGTAAACTGGATATGCGAGAAGCACAGTTCTTGTTTGTGGTTCATAACTTGGTTTCATCATTGTTACAGCTGTACTGGCCTTTTGTTTCCAAGATGTCGGATGCTAAGGCCCCCCTTCGTCCCAAGAGGAAGATGCAGTTGGTGGACTTTCTTATCCAATTCAGATGGATCCTTGTTATCTTCTTTGTCCTTCCTTTCTCGTTCCTGTATTACTTCTCCATATATCTAGGGGATGTTAAATCTGAGAGGAAATCTTACGAACAGCGTCAGAAGGAACACGATGAAAATGTTAAAGAGGTCGTGAAGCGCCTTGGGGAGAGGGATGCATCAAAGGATGGTCTTGTCTGCACAGGCAGGCCTCCGTGGGTGGTTGTTGGAATGAGAAATGTTGACTATAAGCGTGCTCGTCATTTTGAAGTTGATCTTTCTAAGTTCAGAAATATACTTGAAATTGACAAGGAAAGAATGATTGCCAGAGTTGAGCCTCTGGTCAATATGGGCCAAATATCTAGAGTTACTGTTCCAATGAATCTTTCCCTTGCAGTTCTTGCTGAGCTTGATGATCTGACAGTTGGTGGTCTGATCAATGGCTTCGGGATTGAAGGAAGCTCTCACATCTTTGGATTGTTCTCTGACACTGTTGTGTCACTTGAGGTAGTTCTAGCAGACGGACGGGTGGTTAGAGCTACAAAGGACAATGAGTATTCTGATCTTTTCTATGCTATCCCGTGGTCTCAGGGGACATTGGGTCTTCTTGTTTCAGCTGAGATCAAGCTTATACCGGTTAAGGAGTACGTGAGACTTACTTACAAACCTGTAACTGGTAATCTTAAAGAGCTTGCGCAGGCTTATGCGGATACTTTTGCACCTAGAGATGGGGACCAGGACAATCCTTCTAAAGTTCCAGAGATGGTAGAAGGCATGATTTATAGTCCCACGGAAGGTGTTATGATGACCGGTAGATATGCTTCGAAACAGGAAGCCAAGCAAAGGGGTAATGTAATCAACAATTATGGTTGGTGGTTCAAACCATGGTTTTACCAGCATGCTCAAACTGCACTGAAAAGAGGGGAATTTGTGGAGTACATTCCAACTAGGGACTACTACCACAGGCACACAAGATCCTTGTATTGGGAAGGGAAACTAATTCTTCCATTTGGTGATCAGTTCTGGTTTAGGTTTCTCCTAGGATGGCTCATGCCACCCAAGATTGCTCTGCTCAAGGCCACTCAAAGTGAGGCTATCAGGAACTATTACCATGACCATCATGTTATTCAGGATCTGCTTGTTCCTCTTTACAAGGTTGGAGATTGTCTTGAGTGGGTCCACCGCGAAATGGAGGTAAGACTCTATACTATTTGTTTTCTGTTCATTATAGATTTGGCTGTGGCCTCCATCGATTTCATGTTTGTTCCAAGAGTGCAAGACTAGAAGAAATACTTTTTTATGGGCCTTTTTATTTGCTTTAGTTGTTTTCAGGGTATTTCTGCATCAAGTTCTGATTGTATGTGAATTAAATCTGTTTAGGTATATCCCATCTGGCTCTGCCCACACAGAATTTACAAGCTGCCTGTGAAACCTATGATCTATCCTGAACCAGGATTTGAGGCACACCGCAGGCAGGGTGACACTGAATATGCTCAAATGTATACTGATATCGGCGTCTACTATGTTCCTGGAGCAGTCCTGAGAGGTGAGCCCTTTGATGGTGCAGAGAAATGCCGCCAACTGGAGCTTTGGTTGATCGAAAACCATGGGTTCCAGGCTCAATACGCGGTCACTGAACTGACAGAGAAGAACTTCTGGAGGATGTTTGATAATACCCTCTACGAGCAGTGCAGAAAAAAATATAAAGCCATCGGAACCTTCATGAGTGCGTACTATAAATCCAAAAAAGGAAGGAAGACGGAGAAGGAGGTGCAGGAAGCCGAGCAAGAGAAAGCTGAACAAGAGACTCCCGAAGTCGATGAGTAAGAGAAAGCTGATTGATTTTATAAACCAGTTTCATAAGATTTTCTCTGCCGTTCGTCATCCATTTAGTTGTGCTAGTCTGAAATTTCAGTTTAAATAACCAGCTAAATTCAGATAATGTTCCAAATAATGGTAGGTGCTGTTAGAAATTCAGATGATGGTCCAAATAATGGTTCACATGGATCCGTTTCCGTTTCATGTTATTTAAAAATTTGTGGTACCTTTCAAGAAGGAATCAATTGTTTTCTTTAGATGTTTCTAGTGTCCAGTTCAACAGATGGTTTTACTTTTTATTGAAAAAGTTCCAGCAGATAATACACATCCAGTAGTGAAGAATTCACTTTAACAAAACCATGGAATGGTTTGTCTATTTACTGATAATTGCAGCAACTTTCAGGTAGCCTATCTATCACAACATTTCCCAACTTATTCAGTATACGTAAAACAAAAACTCAAATGTGAGGCGCACCAAAATGGATTGTACGAACAGAACATAAAATACTCCACAGCAAAACCTTTACAATCAAAACCAAAAATTTAGAATAGACATTAATTCTTAGAATAAATTTTACCCTCCACACTCTTAACACCCTGGCCATAGATTTTGGCTTCATTTTTTCAAAAAAAAAATTTTAAAAATATTGTTTGTTTATGAAACATGATCAAATTTTGGGGAAAAAAAATAAAAATTCGAAGGTACAATTTTTGGGTGAAAATTTTTCTTCCACTCACAATTTTTTTTTTCAATTAAATTGCATGTCCAAACACAACTTCAACTTTCAAAAATTATTTTTTAACATAACTTCAATAATTCTTTTTTCAAGTTTCAATCAAATATATGTACAAACGCTAACATACATCTTTTTGTCCAAAGAAAGTAAACAAAATTCCTCTAAGCTGTCAGTATATTTCATCTCTCTCTCTGAAAAAATGAAGTGGCCAATAAACAAGAAGTATCCGTTAGAAGCTAGAACGTTAAGCCTACCGTTAGAATCCAGCTCACCCAACTCTTTAAAAGGCAAAATCTAGACTTCCTTCCTCCATATCCTCTGTGCATTCCGTCACCCACCCCAAACTCCATAGAAGCAAAGAACAAAAAAAAGGGAAGCAAGAGATGGGTATGGTAGTGGTTATATCACTTCCATTTATAATATTCACAATATTTGTTGGATTTGGGTGTTATTTTCTTGGAAGAGCTAAAGGTAGACAAGATCTCAGAACCAATCCCCAAATTTTTGGGGTACCCACTCCACCTCCCGCTGCTGCTCCTTTGCCTTCAACTCATTTCAAGCATGACAACACTTCCAATGTGTAAAGCTTCGAGGCATACTCGCTTTAATTTTGTTTTGTGGGGTTCATTTTACTTGTGCAGAGATTTAAATGATACGTACTTCTTACCGCGTTGTTATGAAGTTGTACTGCGAATTACTGAGGGATTATGATTTATCATATTAGTAAAGAAATTGTAACAAGTGGATGTGAAGTTTGCCTTCATATCTACATTAGAATTTAAATTCTATTACGTTTTCAATAACTTTGATTTCCTCAACTATCATTTCAACACTTTTAGAGCACATTTGATGAAGGCAAGCATGAAGTTGTAGTCTTAAAAGACTTTTTAGGACCAGCAAATCTGATTGCAAAATATCTGTAGGCACCGATTGATCTATATGTAGGACCAAAAATTTGGTACCTAAAAATGTTTGGGGACCTGAAGTTCTGTGGTCGGCAAAACACATTAAGGACCGGTAACTATCGTTATTGGCCTTTAGCGGCGGAGCCTATAACAAAGGATCTAATTGTGATCCGGTTAAACTACAAAAAAAACTCAATTAAATCGACTACATATAGATCAATCGGTGCCTACAGATATTTTGCAATCAGATTTGCTGGTCCTAAAAAGTCTTTTAAGACTACAAATCTGGCCCCTATAGCGGTTTCAGACAAAACGTTCTGGTTGCTAAAACGTTCTGGTTGCTAAAACGTTCTGGTTGCTACACATTTTCTAATACAGAGGTCTATGCATAGCAACAAAATCGTCAATTACATTCTATTTACATATTTACAATTACACATAAATTTTGTAATGAATTACAAAAACTGTATAAACATCGCACTAGTGGCAATGTATAGCTATATTGCTCTATAAGTCTATTGTTTTACACAATTCCGGCCCTCACCAAAAAAAAAAAAAAATTGTCTCCAAACCATCCTACAATTATGATAACCAATTTGTTAACTTGTATGAAGACTTCCAAGACACGTGTCTCACGAAAACCATAAATGAAAAGAGGCTGCAAGATTCTTCAAGAATACCATCATGGTCATCTGCACGATTTTTTATCTGCAAGGCAATAGAGAGAATTTTATATCAAAGATCAAATAGTTGATCATTTTCTAAAATTAGGTAGCAAGCCATACACAGTATTAAGCTTTCAGGTAATAGAAAATAGGACACCATCTTCTTCGGATGTTCCATTTATGACAAGTACCAAAACTTATAACCTTATATTTAACTCCAAATAAAAAGAAACAGTATTAGTGAATGCGAAGTGTTTCCAAGTAAGGATATGACACTTATGTTTGCCGCTGTTACACCCCCACACTCTTTATCCATCCAGGAAGTTGAAGATTGCTAAGTGAGGCTTCTAGCCTAGCCAATCGGACACGTTAGGGGGACAAAGAGGTGATTACATTTCACCAGATAGTGCCAGATGTCGCATCGAGCATAGTGGCCGCTGCGGGGCGACCCGTTTGACGTGTGGGATGGTGGAGATTCTTGACTTGATATAAAAAGACAATACATCTTTTTTCTCTTTCGTTCTTATTTACCCTTAAAATTGGATAATAATTAAACTTATAATGAGGTACTAAGGACACGTGATTTCACTTAATACCAATTGATAAATATGAAGATTAATAACAGAAATGAACTAACAAGTAAAGCGAACCAGTATTGAAACGGAATCCAACCCTCAAGCTAGGGTGCCTTCGAACTGATTGATACTAAAACGGTTAAAAATAAAGCAAGCTGATGAACAAGAGAGTATAAGCTAAAGAGAGAGCGTTATATTGGCTTTTTTATGCGAGAACAATGTGTCTTACAAATGGTTAATACTCCCCTTTATATAGTAGAAGATTCTACTTATGGTATAACTCTAATTACAGAAGTAAATCCCATGATTAGCTAATTAACCGTTCCTAATTTGATTCGTTCCGAGATTTTCGCCATGATCTTCGACCAGTCACGGATATTTCGCCTTTTCGTTATTATGTTATCTTCGATCTTGCTCAATGTCTGTCTCATTCGGTCTCGATCGCTGCTGTCCTCGATCTCGACCGGTACCTCGAATCCCGAACTTGGTACCTTGTCCTCGTACCTTGGTCTGATCCACTACAGGGCCGACCTTCGATGCAGCTCCCCGGTCCTGGTCAGATAGAAAAATTGGGTGGGCTCTGTTTTAACCGTATACAGATAGTCCCCTCGTTTGTTGGAGTGTAATGACAAGAAATGAATTGAGTCTTCGATTTTCTACCTCGACCTTTCATAACGTCATCCTCGTGACGTGAGCGACGGAAGTGACTGAAACGTCCCGTCGGTATAGTTTCCCAAATCATTAATGTGTGTCAGTTGGTGGTCGGCCACTAGTGCCTTTGAACCGTCGCCGTGAATCCAATAAATAGACCCCTTATTCATTGATTCAAATTTTACTTTCACTTCTTTCTAATCTCCAAAGCTTTTACATCTCTTAAGTTCTTCCCTTTTTACAAATCTCCAGGTTTTGATGCTAATCCTTTCTCAAACGTCAAGTCCTATTATCTTTCTCTTCTTTAAACTTACATAAAAATGGCAAAAACATCGAAAACGGTACCATAAAAAGAAGCTGCATCATCTTCTCAACCGCCCGGCGGGAAAACGCCGATGGAACCCTGTCTTGAGGAATGCTTTCCTGGGGGTGCGCGCTAAACTCCAATTTCAAGATCGATAAAGCCTCGTCGATTTTTGGTCGATGCGAGCCTGTGTCGAGGTATATATGCTCGATAACTGAGGGATACCTTAAGCAAGTAAAGAGAGACTGCAACTGGAAGGGCAAAGAGGTGGTGATCCCGACCCCCGAAGAAGACATCACCACCCATGTGGAAGGGTTTCTAAGTGTTTATACTTACCCTTTCACATTGGGCCCCTTCGACCCCATCATTGTTGATTTTTGTCATCAGTATCGAATAACCCTAGGCCAAATCCATCCTTCCTTTTGGCGAATTGTTATTCTGCTTTGATTCTTCGTGAGCAAAATCGAGGGGCTCCCTTTCACCCTCGATCACCTTATCAGATTGTATAGCCCCCGCCTCTATCGAGGCGGGTTAATAAAACTCCAACGTCAGGCTACCTAACTATTGTTCTCGAGCATAGACGAAGACAAGGATCAAGGCTGGATGGGACGGTTTGTTCGAGTGAGGACTTCCGACCTAATCCCAGCCGAGAAGATGCCATTTCATGAGAAATGGAACACGAATAGTAAGTACCGTCTCATTGTTAGCTTCTATGTATTATTTGTTCCTTTGTCTTTTCTCATCGATGTCTTTTTCCATGATGTAGCAGTCCCTTGGATTCCCCATGCGATTCCCGACCTCGAGAGCTGGGTTCGGAACCTGGCCTCGACCTCTACATACGTCGAGAGCTCATGGCGCGATTTATCAAAAGGCCGATGGGAAGCCAATACGGGTAAGCCCACTCTTTGTGTATTCGATTAAGATGCCCTTTTTCTACTTATTCAATTTTCTTGTATACAGGCTTGGGCAAGGATGAAGTCATGAGGCCCCTATCTGGTGAGGAGGAGACTTCGATCCTGGCACCAAAACCGGCGAAGGACAAAAAGAGGAAAAAGACCTCAACCTCCGAGGATCCAGAACCTAAGAAGAAGGCGGCTCGTAAGCCGAAGAAGAACATCATCCTTCTGACCGAAGACTCTGTTCGGTGTCTAAGGGAGGAAGACGAAGAATACGACTCCGGGCTGGTGGCCACGACTCACAGTGGGTAAAAAGAAGAAAAGATCAAGGACCTCCGAGCCGTGTTAGCCACGACTCACAAAGATCATACCGGCCTAATCGAGCAGGTAATAAAAATATTAAAAGCTCATGGGCTCAATTCGGGAACGGTGGCTAACATTTCAATCTCACAGTTGCAGTAGAAGGTCGAGAGGATCGAACAATTCTGCGAGGAGGTCGACATGATGGAGGCAGATACCTTAGGATGGAAAGAAAGTATGGACCGCTTTGCTTCTGAAAAAGAGGCTGCTCGAGCCCAATTGTCATTAGTCGAAAGTCAGCTTCGAGGCATGAAGGATAAGAGCACTACTCAGGCAAAGAAAATAGAAGAGCTCGAGGCTCGGTTGGCTTCCGAACTTGCAAAGGCCAAATCTGAAGCCGAAAAGGCAAAGGCCGAGGCAGAGGCGATCGTGGCTGTCTACCGGGCCGATGCTAAAGTCGCTCAAGTCCAAGCGAGAGAGGCAACCGAGACCGCTCAAACTCGAGCACATTGGATTGTTGAAATCGCCATGAAGGAGAAGAGCACATCTCAGGAAAAGAAAATAGAAGAGCTCGAGGCTCGGTTGGCTTCCGAACTTGCAAAGGCCAAATCTGAAGACGAAAAGGCAAAGGCCGAGGCAGAGGCGATCATGGCCGTCTACCGGGCCGATGTTGAAGCCGCTCAAGTCCAAACGAGAGAGGCAGCCGAGACCGCTCAAACTCGAGCGCATTGGATTGCTGAACTTGCCAAATGCCAATCTCTGAGGGAAACCCTCGAGTAGATCCATGCTCGAGGTTTCGATCTTACCGACGAGATAATAAAGGCTAGAGAGCATGAAGATGATGATGCTGGAGCATTGGCTTCTTCCGATGATGATGGCAACAAGAGCGGGTCCAAGAATGGGGAGGACTTCGATGGAGGAGAAGCTGCCTCTGAGGAAAATTAGGAATCTTAGGCCCTTTCTTTTTTGATTTTTTATGCGGGACCCTGATCGGTCCTTGTAAATATCTTCATATATATAAAAGATCTTTTTTCTGTTTCATTCCTACTTTATGAAAATTTCGCTCATTTGTTCGAGGCTTAGGCAACTTGATCGAATCTGGACTAGTATAGTCTTAATCGAGTGAGTACTTGCTCAAACTCGAAGTAGGGTGACCCTTAGGTTTTAATTGAGTGAGGATGATTTTTTGAACTCAGAAATAAAATGGTCGATACGGCCACAGTAAAAAGAACGGTTTTCTCCCTTTCCGGATTGAAAAGTTTATTGTTTAATCATATAAAATCTATTGTACCTTAGTATGAAATAAGGGATTTGCTAGAGAGTTCGAACGATTCCGTACCCGTTAGGGTTTTCAAGGGTCGATATTATCGAGACCCTTTGTTTTGTTAATGCCTTAGCATAAAATAAAGAATTTTTTCGAGAGTTCGAGCGACTTTGTACCCATTAGGGTTTTTGAGGGTTGATATTATCAAGACCCTTAGTAATTCAGCCGAGGGTAGCCTTTTTAACCAGTTTATGAAAATATTCGAAGGCTTGTTTTATAACGGAAATTGGACGTCTCCGAACCGTGTTAATTTGGTTGTAGCCTTTTGGGCTTGTTCCCCTGTTATACTTCGAACAAGTTCGAAGTA